ATATTTGGTCAGCACCTCAGCACTTGTATTGTGTGTGGGCTTTGACACTTACTGTTTTGGGGTACCTAGAATAAAGGGTGAGAGCTTAGTACGACTGTGTGCATCTCTTATTATTCCTCAATATGCAAGCCATGCAACTTTTTTCTTCCAATTCTAAAATACTTTATACCTATTATCTTGAAATCCATGATAGATGCAGAAAATCTTGTGGAAAAGGGGGTGGGAGGCTACCGTGCTTTCTTTTTGTACCAAACTTATCCGACAACCACATATTGGAGTTATTAAATGACAAATTGTGTCACATTTTTAGCTCACCTAGCCGAAAGGCCAAGTGAGCTTTTCTCATCACTTGGTATCCGTCATCCATCATCGGCGTCTTCCGTTAACTTATACAAAAATCTTCTTCTTGGAAACCATCAGGCCAAATTTAACCAAACTTGGCCACAATGTTCATTGGGGTGTCTAGTTTAAAAAATGTCCCCAACAGCCAACCAAGATGGCTGACATTGCTAAAAATAGAACATAGGGGTAAAATGCAAGTTTTGCTTATTATTTTGAAAACTGCTATAAATAGAGAAATTCTGACTGAAGCAAAAATGTTCAGACTGATTGCTCTATCTATTGTACATTCACGTCAAAACTGTCAGATGACTTCTTATTGGAGTTATTGCCCTTAAATGAAGAATTTAAGCATTTTAAAAATGTTTCCCTATTATTTCGAAAATTATAATAGATAGACAGAAACTTTGAATAGCAAATATGATCAGCAAGACAAGATCTACATATAAGTCATCAAGACCAAAATCGTCAGAAGACTCCTTATTAGAGTTATTGTCCTTTAATGACGATTTTTACCAAATTTATGCCTAATATCTGGAAAACTGTAATAGATAGATAGAAACCTTAAATAGCACAAATGATCAGAAAGACAAGATCAACACATATATCAACATGACTGAAATTGTCAGTTAACTCTTAATAGAGTTGTTCCCATTTAATGATGATTTTTACTAAAAAGTGGCCCTAGTTGGAAGATGCAGGTGAGGGACCCAGGCTCTATAGAGCCTCTAGTTTTATGTTGCTTTTAAAAGTTATAGACAAAAACTATAATCATCCAAAAATGATTAGCATAACAAGGTCTCCATAAATCCCTATATTGTAAATTGACCATTTAGGGGAAAACTATGGTAGTAAGAGAGAAAATGTAATGAGAAAAAAAAAATTGGGGAAATAGATCTACAAATAAGTAAACATGACCAAAATTGACATTTTCAACTCCTTTAATTGCCCTTAACAATCTACAAAATAACAAATCTCTGTAATATATTATTTTTTTCTGTTCGCCAAATGCCATGTAATCTCACTTAAATTTATTTCATTTTTAGCTCACCTGGCCCAAAGGGTCAAGTGATCTTTTCTCCCCACTTGGCGTCTGTCGTCCTCGTTAACTTTTACAAAAATCTTCTCTGAAACTACAGGGCTAAATTTAACAAAACATGGCCTCAATCATCATAAGGGTATCTAGTTTTAAAAATACGTCTGATGATCCTACCTGTTAACCAACATGGCCGACATGGCTAGAAATAGAACATTGGGGTAAAATGCAAGTTTTGTCTATAATATTGTAAATCACTAGAGAAAATCTGACTGGAGCAGAAATGTTTAGAATGATGACATATATACTTATTGTCCATTTAAATCAAAACTGTCAGACGACTTCTTATAGGCGTTATTGTCCATAAATGACAAATTTTACTATTTTTTGTAATATTAGCCTATCATCTTTAAAACTGGAATAGATAGATAGACACTTAAAATAGCAAAAATGATCAGCAAGACAATATCAACAAATAATTCGAGGTATTTATTCAGGGTTTTATTCATAAAAAAGGGGGATTTTCCAGTTTTCTGACAATAACTAAATAAATGCTTTCAGCAATTCTCATGAAACTTTGGTGAATTGTTTATATCTGTTGATGTAAGCTCCCTTTAGAATTTTAAAAATTTTAGATTTTACATTTCTGAGTTATAGGGTTTTATTCATTAAAAAGGGGGGATTTTCCAGTTTTTCGACAATAACTCAAAAATGCTTTTATCAGTTCTCATGAAACTTTGGTGAATTATTTATAGCTATTGATGTAATCTCCCTATTGATTTTCATAAATTTCAAATATGACATTGAGAAGAAATTGAACTTTACTTGTTTATATGTTTAGAGTTGGACCTCTGCGGGCGTATCCAGCTGCGCTTAGCGAAGCAGTTTATTTTGACATGATAAGTTGGTTAACCTTCATGGATTGTTATGAAACTTGGACAGAAGCTAATCTTCAAGACCAAGAAATAGCATCTAAAGAGAAAGTTTGGATCTTTTTTAACATTCTGTAATTTACTGATAAATGGGCTCACTTTTTAAGTCAACATTACACTTTTACACTGACAGCAGCAATCGTAGGCGAGACACAGGGTTCCCCGGGACCCATACAAATTTTACTGGTATAAATATTGATTTTGTTATCAGTAAATAAAACCATACTAAATATTATTGTTATACATATATGCACTTTCACGGTACTACAATCATGCAGTCGATACCTATATTTTGGTATTACACAAGGTCATAATTTTCTATGACTGTTAATGACGTCTTTATACTAAATCCATTGGATGTGTACTGATTGATATTTTAGTCTTAAATACATGATTTTTTTTATTAGTTGTTATTGGCTTTGAACTAGCTGTCAGTAACAGTGAGTACTCTCAGATCTGTACTCAGTGTTTGTTTCTTTTTTTATAGAAAACCTGCCACGTCCGGTCTGTGCTTTCGTTAGAAGTTTTCTGCTTTGTATTGATCTGATGAATTAAGCCCTTTTCAACTGATTTTTATAGTTTGTTCTTATGTTGTGCTGTAACACCACTGCCCGGGGTTATGGGGAGGGTTGAGCGCTCAAGTCAGGAGCCTGTAGTTCAGTGGTTGTCGTTGGTTCATGTCTGTCATATTTGTTTTTTGTAAATTGTTTTGTTATAAATTAGGCCGTTAGTTTTCTCATTTGAATTGTTTCATATTTTTAATGTCGGGGCCTTTTATCGCCGACTATACTATATGGGTTTTTCTCATTGTTGAAGGCAGTACAGTTGCATATAACACTTACTTCCACTTCAATTGAACTTTGGTGGATAGTTGTCTCATTGGCAATCAGATGAGTCTTTTGTAAACGAAACGCTCGTCTGACGTACACATTTTAAATCCTGGTATATATGATGAGTTTATTCACTCACATACTAACATGATATGCCGCTCATACTGACATGGTATGCCACTCATACTGACATGACCCGCCACTCATACTGACATGATCCGCCACTCATACTGACATGGTCCGCCATTCATAGTACTTGGTCGTCATCGAATCATTGACTATTTGCATCGGCGTAGGACAAACAAATTAAATATACCATCTGAATTATATCCTATGCATTGTAATATATATTTGAGACCTTTTATATTCATAAGAAATACGTTATTACAACCAGAAATGCTGTTTGTCGATATTTTCTGCACAATGTAAGGATAAAATCCTAAAACGACGCTATATAAAAATAAGATGTGGTATGATTGCCAATGAGACAACTCTCCACAAGAGACCAAATGACACAGAAATTAACAACTATTGGTCAACATAAGGCCAACAATGAGTAAAACCCATACAGCATAGTCAGCTATAAAAAGACAAATTTAAAACAATTCAAACGAGAAAACTTGCGGCCTGATTTATGTACAAAATAATGAACGAAAAACAAATAATTATGATATACAGCAATAAACGACAACCACTGAATTACAGGCTCCTGGGACAGGTTCATACAGAACGTGGCGGGGTTAAACTAGCTTGAAGACGCCCCAATTTCGGGGCCTTTTATAATGGACTATGCGGTATGGGCTTTGCTCATTGTTGAAGGCCGTACGGTGACCTACAGTTGTTAATTTCTGTGTCATTTAGGTCTCTTGTGGAGTGTTGTCTCATTTGGCAATCATACCACATCTTCTTTTTATATATAAAATCAGTTAAAAAGGGCTTAACTCGTCAGATCGATACAAAGCAGAAATACATCTAACAAAAACACAGAGTGGACGTGACAGGGTACTTATACATCGCCACAACAAAAAGACACTAAGTACAGATCTGAGAGTACTCGCAGTTACTGACAGCTAGTTCAAAGCCAATAACAACTAATAAAAAATCATGCATCTAAGACTAAAACATCACTCAGTACACATCCAACATCCAATGGATTTAGTGTAAAGATGGCATTAACAGTCAGAGAAAAACATGACCTTGTGCAATGCCAAGATACAGGTATCGACATATTGTAGAGCCATGCATGTGCATTGTATATACAAATAATATTTAGTTTCATTTTAATTTACTGATAACAAAATCAATATTAATACCAATAAAAACAATATTCAAAGATCTAATTATAGTGTTGAATTGGTAACCTTTTAGAATAAGTTTATTTAATGGACCGATAACTTTACCCGGATCGTATCCTTGTAGGGATCCATTATTCTTAAAGGGGGTCACAAATGAATTATTTTCTCAAGTTTGAAATTGACTAATGCGTATTAAAAAAATTATTCCGAGAGTTTGCTATTGAATTTTTGTTGTTAGATAACAGAAATCGGACAAACTTTGTAAATTATACACTCTAAGGATAATGTAGGCAATGTTTGGTTTAACTCGCACAGGAGATTTAAGATTTATAAAATTGAAAAGCTATACGACAGATAACGGACTCAAAGTATTGACAAAGACTCATGACTAGCATCTCAGACCTGGCGAGCTTAAAGAACAGGTCTAACACGGACTCAAAGTATTGGCAATGACTCACGACTAGCACCTCAGACCTGTCGAACTTAAAGAACATGTCTAACACGGATTCAAAGTATTGGAAATGACTCACGACGAGCACCTCAGACCTGACGAGCTTAAAGAATAACACCGTGCTAAATATTCTTTAATACATAACGAACAGCATTTTTAGAACACCGGTTTGTTTGGTCTCTTTTAAAGCTGTCTCTAGAATTTTTGGATCAAATTCTCGCTTACAGAGTTTTTTCAACAGATCGTCATTTGCTTCTGAGTGACTATACTTCCATTTCTGTCGAAGTTCAGAGTGTTCCCCCATTGTAATGACTTCATGTTGCAGAAGATAGTCACTTAGAGGAAAAGCTTCGAGAAGTTCACATATTCTAACAAAGTTTTTTTTAATTGTTTTAGATAAGACGGTTTCGCTTCCTTGCCCAGCCATTATTGATTCTTTGTGATCTGTTATACTGGTCCCCGAATTTCCTGCTTTGTTACAGTGTTCAACTGTAAGTGACCTATATTCTTCAGTTTTTGTGATAGTGTATTTCTCATTATCTTCCATAGACATAGGTTCTTTCTCGGATATATTCATTACTCAATGACAAAAACCTACAAAAGAAAAGAAAACAAAGATTCCCTAAATAATGATGGTATAATTGGAGGCGCATTACATTTGCGCGCATTTGGGGATTAAAATTGTTTACGTTATTGAGAAAATGATAACAATTATTAGGATTGGAAAACAAACAAGTGAATTTTCCCTTTTACAAATTTCTTTCATAAAACAGATTAAGAGCTTGGCATATGGTAAAAGCACATGTCTTTGGGTAATTTAGAGCTCGACTTTTTATAAAAGCACCAATGGTAAGTTGATTAAGAGCTTGACAACTTGTAAAGGCACATGTCTTAAGGTGATTAAGAGGATTCTGAGCTTGACTTTTTTAATAGGCACAAATCTAAGGGTGACTAAGAGCTTGATATTTTGTAAAGGCGCATGTCTAAGAACGCTTGAGTGATTGACATATTGTATAGGCAACTGTCTCGGTGTGTTTTAGATATTGACATAGTGTATAGGCAACTGTCTCATTGTGCTTTAGAGATTGACATATTGTATAGGTAACTGTATCTGTGTGCCTTAGACATTAACATATTATATAGGCAACTGTATCTGTGTGCTTCAGATATTGACATATTGTATAGGTAACTGTATCTGTGTGCTTGAGAGATTGACACATTGTATTGGCAACTGTATCAGTGTGCCTTAGAGATTGACATATTGTATAGGCTACTGTATCTGTGTGCTTTAGATATTGACATATTGTATAGGCAACTGTATATGTGTGCTTTAGAAATTGGCATATTGTATAGGTAACTGTATCTGTGTGCTTTAGAGATTGACACATTGTTTTGGCAACTGTATCAGAGTGATTTAGAGATTGACATATTGTATAGGCAACTGTTTCTGTGTGCTTTAGATATTGACATATTGTATAGGTAACTGTATCTGTGTGCTTTAGAGATTGACACATTGTATTGGCAACTGTATCAGAGTGCTTCAGAGATTGAAATATTGTATAGGTAACTGTATCTGTGTGCTTTAGAGATTGACACATTGTATTGGCAACTGTTTCCGTGTGCTTTAGAGATTGACATATTGTATAGGCAATTGTATCAGTGTGCTTTAGAGATTGACATATTGTATAGGCACCTGTCTCAGGGTGCTTTAGAGATTGACATATTGCATAGGCACCTGTTTGAGGGTGATTTAGAGATTTACATATTGCATAGGCAACTGTCTCTTTGTGCTGTAGAGATTGACATATTGTATAAGCAACTGTATCAGTGTGCTTTAGAGATTGACGTATTGTGTAGGCAACTGTATTAGTGTGCTTTAAAGATTGACATATTGTATAGGCAACTGTCTCAGGGTGCTTTAGAGATTGGCATATTGTATAGGCAACTGTTTCTGTGTGCTTTAGATATTGACATATTGTATAGGCAACTGTATCTGTGTGATTTTAGATATTGACATATTGTATAGGCACCTTATCAGAATGCTTTAGAGATTGACCTACTGTATAGGCAACTGTCTCAGGGTGCTTTAGAGATTGACTATTTGTATAGTCTTTTTCTGTGTGCTTTTTAGATTGACATATTGTATAGGCAACTGTATCAGTGTGCTTTAGAGATTGACGTATTGTATAGGCACCTGTTTCAGGGTGATTTGGAGCTTGATATATTGTATAGGCAACGGTTTCAGTGTGCTTTAGAGATTGACATATCGTTAGATACATATCTCATTATATTTGTTGAAGACAATGCATTTTCACCTCTTAATGTCATTTGAATAATTGCGTTGATTTGTTATGTTGCTGTCTCATTGTCGTAAATCGCCTTCTTTTATTCAATGCATTTACATCTCTTAATGTCATTTGAATAATTGCGTTGATAGGTTGCTGTCTCATTGTCGTAAATCGCCTTCTTTTATTCACATTGTAAACATTAACATCGTGTATCTTGCATATTTCATCTTACCAGAACAAAGCATTAAGATCACATGTAAAATAAGCTCGTTTACCTCCCAGGAAAACAAATCGAAAGAAGTTAAATTTTATCCTGTCCCCTTCCCCATTTTAACATTGGGAAATGACATTACCAATAATTCGGTAATAACAGAACAACACAAATAAAACAATTACTTATCAAAATACCTTTCTATCTCAATTTTCTTGTTGACGTTGACATTATTAACATCCGGATATGCTATTTCTGTTTTATTTAGACTTTCAAAACAGGTAAATAGTCTATATTTAAATTTAAATACGTACATAGTGCGAAATGCAGTGACAAAAAAAGTTATCGCCCTTGCAAACACAAAATTAATGGACCCCTTGATGGGGATTTACAGAATAGAGAATAAATTGCAAAAAATATAAAGAATAGAGAAAAATGGACCAAAAATATTAAGAATAGAGAATAATGAGGTGCTAAAATATAAAGAATAGAGAACAATGTGCAAAAAGTATAAAGAACAGAGAAAAATGGCCTAAAAAATTAAAGAATACAGAAATGAAGGACCCCCCCCCCCCCTCCAGACCCTCTTCAATGTTATGTACGTTTTCTACAAGGAAAGTATCAAACGTTTGCAAGAACAAATTTTGAAATATGCATGTAGTAATAATGTCATTATGATATCAAAATAATGTAGAAACAATTTATATAGTTTGGGAGGTCAAAATACTTGAAAATACAAAACCTAATAAATACCAAACCAACAAGGACCTATTTAAGCATGGTTTTACACTAGTAATTTTTTGGGGCCCTTTATAGCTTGCTGTTCGGTGTGAGCCAAGGCTCCGTGTTGAAGGCCGTACTTTGACCTATAATGGTTTAATTTTATGAATTGTGACTTGGATGGAGAGTTGTCTCATTGGCACTCATACCTCATCTTCTTATATCTATATAGCCAAATCTTGACAAGGAACAGAGCATTGCACGAAGGAGATATGTTTCTTAATTTAAAATGATTTCCAAAATTTTATAACAGCAATTAAATCTCAATCTAACACTATGCGTCTCACTCTGTTCATGAATGCCAGTACCGAAGTACAGACTCAGTACTGGGCTATAGGTATGCGGCAAAGATTACTGACTTTCGAATTAAATTAATTTTTCAAGTTAAGCTAAATTCAAACTGACCTTGTTCCTAACATTAACTGTAAAAGATCTAGTAGATATAATCAAATAATTACTTAAATCATTTCTGTAAAAAAATATGTTCCTTTAACTTTTTAATCTGACCAGAGATAACTTGAAAATTGTAATATTCCCACAAAGACAATACTTTATGACGATGAATAAACCGGTATGTTCGAAAATAGGTAAATTTAATTCCAGAAAATAGGATAATCGGGAAAACATGAAAATTGGTGAACATGGTGAATGGAAAGAGCTTTTGGTTCACTTTATTTTGCTCTGTAGTTTCAGGATATTTTTTGTTTGATACTTGTTAAGCCTATACTAATGCTACTGATACCTGTCCTGAAGAGTTCGGTTGAAAATGACAAAATAGCTAGAGAAATGATTAAATTGGGACCTTCCACGATGAAATATACTACAAGTACAGCAAAAGCTATTACATAATTTCATTTTAGTAGAGCTAACTTGAAGCCATCTTTGATACTGTATATTTTATAAATAACTTATTTTGTAACATTTCTCCTCGTTACAATTTTATTGTATGTTCTTCAAGTCTATGGGAAGTGCGAATCGATAAATGCGTTTCTTATGTGGAGTAGCGATATTTTCTAATGTAACATTTGCATTCCACTGAATGAGATTAAAGGGGATCAAAGTGAACTAGTACGCACAGTGACGGATCCAGGGATGTGTTATCCCCATTTGTTTGACAACTAATGCTTTTGTATTGGGACATATGGTTGGAACCCCCTTTTAAAATGGTTGGATCCGCGCCCGACACAAGTGTTTATCCTAGTTACGTTTTTGTTCCTGCCCAAAAGTGGGTTTCTTTAGCGACATCTTGGTGCTTTTTTATCGAGGGGAGAGATAGAGACCTTTGATGTTTGAAATATTTATGATAATACAATTATATGTCTCTGATAGAAGTGGGACAAACGTTGACATGCAGCATGCTGCACTAGTTTATTGTTGGCCTTATGTCAACCTCTAAATGTCTACTGCAATTATATTTATTTTCTTCCTTGTTCAACCATAATCTACCTTTATGAAAAACTAAATGCAAATATAATTAAAGAACCTTAGTGAGCACGCTCACATACCCCACGTCCCCACATTGTCACTGGAGAAATAAAATAACTGTAAGAAAAAAAAATTGAATCATAATTTCCTGTCGATATGCACATCTACATAGTATGTCCTTATTATCCAGAAAGTTTCATGAAATTCTGTTGTGTGGTTTCAGAGGAGTTGCGATGACAAACTGTTACAGAGGTATATTGAAGCAAATAAGTTCAAAGGGGCGTAACTCCTAGAAAAAGATTGAATCGTAATTTCCTGTCGATATGCACATCTACGTAGTATGTCCTTATTATCTACAAAGTTTCATGAAATTCTGTTGTGTGGTTTCAGAGGAGTTGCGATGACAAACTGTTGCAGAGGTTTATTGAAGCAAATAAGTTCAAAGGGGCGTAACTCCTTGAAAAAAAATTGAATCGTAATTTCCTGTCGATATGCACATCTACGTAGTATGTCCTTATTATCTACAAAGTTTCATGAAATTGTGTTGTGTGGTTTCAGAGGAGTTGAGATGACAAACTGTTGCAGTAGTACATTAAAGTAAATAAGTTCAAAGGGGCGTAACTCCTAGAAAAAAAATTAAATCGTAATTTCCTGTCGATATGCACAACTACATAGTATGTCCTTATTATCTAAAAAGGTTTCGTGAAATTCTGTTGTGTGGTTTGAGAGGAGTTGCGATGACAAGAAACAGGACTGACGGACGGACAGACGGACGGGTCAAAAACATTATACCCTCCGCAACTCGTTGCGTGGGGTATAATGAAACAGCATACTAAAATAATGTTCTAGTATGCAAGTGCTTCTAATCAGAATACACAACATTTGCACAAAAATACTTCTTGGACAAACAAGCAGCCTCTAGATTGGTGGTAATCATCAATCGAGGATGCTGAACTGTTATCAAATCTCCAGTACATTTTTTTCACTAATCAGACAATAAACTGTTGACAGAGACATGTCTCTCCTTAAGTTTTATTGATATATAAAATTGAGAATGGAAATGGGGAATATGTCAAAGAGACAAAAGACCAAAGAGCAGACAACAGCCGAAGGCCACCAATGTCAATGCAGCGAGAAAATCCATGTATAATGTTAATGTTGCAATCAAAATGTAAATATTTGATCACTTTCCAAGTCAATGAACAATGTCTAAAGGTACAAAACTAAGTAATCTCCATGGAAATGAGAAATGTCAATATTTGTAAACTGCCTACTAATCCCATTGACTTGTCATAAGTGGATCCCTTTTAACAAACCTAAGACACAAACTTTAAACAAACTATGCAAAATATGCAAAGTCAATAGACTATGAATGAAAAGTCAGTCAAATTATTTCCATGGAAATGAGATGTGCCAGTACTAATACATTTGCATACCAAATTTCATGGCTCTACCACAAGTAAACTAAGCAAGTATACAAATCAGTAGACTATGACAGCCAAATAACTTCATGGAAATGAGATGTGCCAATACTAATACATTTGCATACCAAATTTCATGGCTCTACCACTAGTAAACTAAGCAAGTATACAAGTCAGTAGACTATGACAGCCAAATAACTTCATGGAAATGAGATGTGCCAATGATAATACTACATACTGCTTACCAATTATCATAGACCTACCACTACTGGTGCCCCATTAAGGTTGCACTTCTGAAAGTATAGACAATACAATATCCCATAGGAACTCCTTTTACAGCTTAAACTGCCGCTTTCACTATTTAGTTTCGTAAAAATTTATATCCTAGAATGGAACATTCATATGCACTACTATTTTTTTCAAAAGTCAAAACATAGGGCTGTGCGGCATCTTTTCAACATTTATATGTCTCAAACTTAAAAGAGTTAAACTTGTACTAAAATTCTGTACTACTACTCCCTTCACTTTGGGTCCTCAAAAGATTTCAATTTGGCCACTATCCATGTGTATTAATACTGGTAACATTCCCAAGTTATGTCTCTATGAGATGCAACATAGATCATATCTGGGAACCAGTAGGTAAACAAACAATATATCTAGGAATACTATACATCTCCCCAAAAGAGGTGTGGTTTGTGAAACAGCTGTATTTACAAAGTGCAAACTTGACCTAATCAAACTAATACATTGTTGACACCACCCCAGCAGGAAACAGCAAGCCTAATCTCAGATTTTTCGATTTGTCAGGGCGAGACAAAAAGCTAATCACATCATACAGCTGTGTCTAAATCAAGGCAGAATAAATAAAAATATCTACTGAAAATTTTATTAAAAATATAATAACTTTTTCAAAGTGCTTTTAAAACATATCAAAATTGTTTTGTTCATAAACCCTTTTCATAAAAGGATTTTTTTTCTGATTCACAATTTTTTTTTTACTTCTTTTTAAACAGAAACTGAAGGCGAAGAGAGAATGATGCATACATTAGGAAAACTGATTTAATAATACAACTGACAAATCTCAATTCTGCAATATAAAAGTTGATGCAGTAAAATAATGCATTGATGGAATGTAATACCTGTCAACATCATAAGAGTAATGCTTTACATAGCCTCTTTCTTTTTTCTTCTATATAATTTTTTGGCACTCAATTCTAATATAATTGCAATTTTAAATATTTGTTCAGTTGAATAGTTATCAGTGGCGGATCCAGAACTTTTCATAAGGGGGGGCCCACTGACTGACCTAAGGGGGGGCCCGCTCCAGTCATGCTTCAGTGATTCCCTATATAATCAACCAAATTTTTCCCACAAAAGGGGGGGCCGGGCCCCCCAGGATCCGCCTATGGTTATATTTCTCTTAAATCAAGAAGCAGATAGCTACACAATTGGAATATTGTTTTACCTCAAGTTTAACAAAATCTTGAATGTAAAATGGAACATCTTTCAAGTTCAAGATGGCCCCCCCCTCCTCCCCTAGCACCGTTTTGTACAGATATCTTTGCTAGATGTCAATAAACCCCATAACTGTGCATTAAAACACATAAATGTAGGGGTACATCAATAAATACTATCAGAAGAAGTATGTCAATCTCTTTGTAAAATAGAAAACAATACATCTTTGAACATTCATGACATTTTTGAACACAAGATATTAATGCACTCATATTTTTGAACACAAGATATTTTTCAACACATATTTTTGAACACTCAAGATATTTTTGAACACAAGTTATTTTTGAACATCGAGATATTTTTGAACACAAGTTATTTTTGAACAATCAAGGTATTTTTGAACACAAGATATTTTTGAACACAAGATATTTTTGAACACTAAAGATATTATTAGAACTCGAAATATCTTTTGAACAATAGAGATATTTTTGATAGATAACTTAAGTATGCTGGAGCTTCTAAATACACTAAACCAGTCATTCTTTTTTTTTTTAGGAGAAGCAACTTTACACCACGGTCTCCTAAACTGGATATACAACACTATTTGTACATCCTTATTAACCAGAGATTCTGGATATGCCATTTATACTGGTACTATCTATTACAGGATAAACTACAAAACTGGTACCCCATAACTAAATATACTACAAAACTGGTACCCCATAACTAAATATACTACAATTGTAATAATACTATTTACAGATTGAACACAAGGTGGTGGTATCTTAGGTCCTGTAAACTTCAGTTATCCTTTTTCATGCCCCTTAAACAGCCGGTCCGCAAAAGTTAGCACAACTCGTGATTACCAAATAAACCTCTTGGTTGTTTCAAGGATTTGTATAGTGAGATGGATTGGAATAACAAAACAGTTGATATTATCATGTTTGACAATATTGACAGGGGTAAGTATGTTTCCTGTACAAACAATTATATTCAAACATTGTTAGAAACATTTATTTATTTTTTCGAGACAATACTGCACGATTTTTTTTCAAGCACATATTTCCAAATTTGTGGGTTAAAGACATTTAAAGACATTTATTTATTATTTAAGCCAATGCTGCAAGAAATTTTTATTCAAGAATATAATATTTCCAAAATTTGTGGGTTAGAATACATGTATTTATGTTGCCCAACACGTTGTTCAACTGGTTATTTACTTATAGACGTGTATACATTTGAAGTGGCAAGTATGTGACTTTTCACGATACGCGAGATGTATCGAAAAACTGTAAGATTCCAATCCTTCTCACTATACAAATCCTTGGTTGGTTTAACAGAGGTCTACACATTTGCAAAAAAGTGTTTTTTATAGCAGATAGATCAATATTTTATTATAAATACTTTATAATTTTGCATTATACTTTTCGTTCTTTGAATCACAGATTTAGAACTTTTCTGATTCCAGGATAAAGCCATACGAGAACAATTCAAAGAAAACCTGGTAGCTTACAGGACCTTTCAAACATAATAAAACAAAGCAACAAAATAATTACAGGAGGTAGAATACAAACAAACAGCACTATAAACATTTGAACATACTTAAGGTGGTACCTAACACTACAGGGAGATAACTCTGTAAAAATCAGCTAAACGTTTTAATTACGTTGTATTGTTAAGGAAATATTAAGCTTCTCAATGATCAAAATTGGTGTTTGTCAAACTGCTATATAACCAATGAAATTTTTCTGATAAAGTGGTTGGTTCAAATTTTTTGAAATTTTTATATTTTTGTCAAAGGGTCAAAGTAAACATTTTGTCAAAATTTTATGAAAATTAAATGAGCCAAATTAATATTAGTCAAGGTGTTGGGTACCACCTTAAGGATGTTCGCTCCTCTGTTTCAAAATAACAAGTTTTTTAAAAGACTATCATAAATTGATAGTTTATAAATAACAGAACTTAAAAGGCAGAAAAAAATGACAGGTCCGTGTCCTTGTTTATGAGATATAATCAATTGAAAATTTGGCGGGAAATGATTCTCTCTAGATTTTTCATACATTTAACATTAGCACCTGTTTACTTTCTAAAACTATGAAAAAATAACAAGGATTTCATAAGATTTTCAAAAATTGCTTTATAAACTGTATGTAATAAAATTATGCAAAGAAAACTGAGGGTTAGCAGGCAAAATTTTTATTGGCACTACATTGGATAAAACTAGAGGATTCCGAATATCTGACAAAAAAGTATAAAACTAGAGTAGCAAACATCCTTAAGAGCATGTAAAACAGTCAACAATGTTGCTCAAAACAATTAACTGCTATTCATATAACTAAAATTAGTGCAACTAGCAAATATAATTTAATAAATTATAAATCAAACCATATTTATTTTTGAAGCTGCAACTATTTGATTCAATCTGTTTTGTAGACATGTTAAACAGTAGTTATTTGTATTGAGCAATCAAGCACTGAGATGGAAACACTTCTCAAAGACATAAATATCAATTTCAAGACGTTCAAGTTTGCTAAAACACAGCTTGCACATACACCTAACCTATCAGATCTAATTCAAAGCATAAGTCGATTATGTATCAGCACTTTATAACAATACAACCATTTATTATTGTTAATATATATTGAATAAAATATTGTTTACTTAAATAAAAGCATCCATGTTTAGAAGAAGCAAAAGAAGAATATATTCAATTTTTGGATGCAATGCAGCATTTACTATGAGGCAAGGTGCTGAATTGTCACTAGTCAGTCATAGATATAAATCAAAGTGCTTGTGAGCACTGAAAGGGTAAAGATTGCTTTCATTTAATTTAAAATAAAATACTGAATTGTAATTAGCTAGGCAATTTATCAATTTGAGTTGGAGTTATCTTCCTTTGTTCATGATTTTTCATTGTAGTTGAGCCTATCCTTATAACAGATTCATATGCCATGCATTACTTATGCAATTTTCAATAAAGAAAGTTCTCTTAACAAATCAAGTTTAGTAATTCCACTACACATCATATCGTAACTTGAATATCTAAGTATAACATAGCATTGATAAATTGCATGACATTGACTTGATAGGATCTGAAGAATGATCACTGCACTTCACTATTTTGTTTAAACTATCAAAGGTAGTGATAAACCTTGGAAGATTTAAATATCAAGTCCGTTACACAGTCTTCACGCTTAACCACAGGCCAAGCAGCCCAGGCTTCTAAAATTGCTTCCGGGCCTGTAAAAATCATCTCTATAGGCCAACAGATTCTAACTATAAATTTTCCAAAAATTGAGCTCAGGGCCTGTAGATTTAAAAGTTTATCTTGAAGACTGTCCGTACCACGAGGTTTTCATTGCATTTCATGCAATTTTTACCCAAAAAACTCACTTCTGATTATCTTTATTTTGATTATTAATATCTTTGTGCATCTGGGACAGAAAAATTGGTACAGTTAATACCAATAATTCTAAATTATGATACTTAGTCACTGTCTCATTTCATTCACATTGTTTAGTATCAATATGACTCGAGGGTTTTTGGGAATAGGTCAGTAAAAGAAAATGTGTTCAAGTCTAAACTCCCATTTCCATTTGAATGAAACAGCCAAAATAACAATTGAACACTTACAATTCTTTTGAAAGACATAGGCATTGTATGGCTACATGATTTCAATTGCGATGAAGTCAAAATGACAAGACCCAAAAAAAGCTGATTCATACGATTGATTTACACAAATGTTTACCAGTACACACACACACACAATTATCTGATTCATACGACGATTCATTTACACAAACATTAATCAGTACACACACACATACAATAATTATATGAAATTTACAAAGCAATTTATGAATATTGGACAATATATAAAGAAACATGGATGAAAATATACCAGTAGAAAAATTCTAGACAATGGTGACATTATGCGTACAAATTATCAAAATCCAGAAATCTATTGACATCTATAAAAATCTCAACCATTTAGAAAATGCCTTAAACCAGTCAAATGATGTTGACAGACACAGTAACAAGATCTGTTTGTATTTCTTTTGGTTTCTTTTAATCTTGTTGGGTTTCCATTATCATCATGCCCCTTCTAATCTTACTGGATTTCCATCATGCCCCTTTTAATCTTGCTAGTTTTCCATCATGCCTCTTCTAATCTAGTTGGTTTTACACCATGCCCCTTCTAATTTGTTCCTGTAGAACCAAATCCTCCTTCTCCTCGTTCTGTTTTATTTAAATTCTGTAAAATAAGATCGCCAGAAGTTAACACAGAAAAACAGATTGAACAGATTCGTAAGTACCTATTAAACCACAATAAAGCTTTCCACATCATCATCACAGAATAACTTCAAAATTTAGGATTTTTAAAAACAGTAATTAAAAACAATTTTTATCAATATTTTGATTTTTTGTCCGACAGACTGATGTTAATGGACTATAGGTGGATCTCAACATTCTTAGCATTTCTGCTTATGTGGGATTTTCTCTATTAACATCAAAAATTCGTAAGGGTTCCGCGGAACCCAGTGTCTCGCCTACTTTTGCTGTCAGTCGCAGACTCAACAAAAATGGGGAAAAAATTATTAAAAATTTTCCTCTAGATACTATCTTTTGATTGTAAGAAGTTCTGTTCAAGTTTGGTAAAAATCCAGGATGGTTTATGATCTAATAAATGTTTTAAAAACTTTAACTGCAGACTGTACGTAATGTTAACTGGAATAAAACTAAGTCCATTTATAAGTAATATATGGAAAAACAGGAAATAAATTTTTACAAAATTTCCTTCTAGATACTAGCTTTTGATCATAAACAAGCTTCTGTCCAAGTTTGGTACAAATCCAGGATAGTTTAAGAAAGTTATTAAAATTTTGAAAGCTTTAACCACAGAGTGAATGTAATGTTAACTGGCAGAAAAACTTGTCCATTTATAAGTAAAATACGGATAAACAAGGCAATGTCAGATGCCAACTGATAAAGAAAATCTCATTTTGGCATGTCCGCCTGGTAAGCTGAAAAGAATGAAATTCCATGAATTGTTTTCTTTTCTGAACCTCATAGTAATGGGTTGGCAGATCTGTAATCCAACAAATTAAAAAAAAATCTTGCCCAACGTATTCTGTTTAAATTTAAAGACAGAATAATTTTAAGGTAAACATAATGTACGATGAAGTCTGTATGCCAGCTACTAGAAGTGTATCAGACTTTTTTGTGAAGTTGGATTGGTGTCTGATAAGCCTCCTTTAATTATAATACAGTTCCAAAAATTTAAAAAGACTTTTTTTTACCTCACATTCTTCTAGTTCAGGAATATAAATTCTTTCACATATCAGCTGAGCAATTCTGTCACCTTTATTCACTAAAATTAAATAAATAAATTATAAATAACTATATCAATCAAATTTATAGAGTGACCTTAAATTTTTTTTTTTTTTTAAATTAGACTTAATTGTTTGTCAAGTCCAGTATCATGATTTTGAGCCCACAATAAATGAAACTTCAAAATACTCCTGCAAGTTGCGCAAGATGAACACTTTTGAATTGCCAGTCCAGTGTTCCCAAGGATTTTTTGATAGCACAATGATAAGTGTGGCGAAAAATAAGTTATGAGTTGAAATATTTTGCATCGCTTAGCTACATATTTTCTCTATCCTCTCTACTCGCGGACAATTCCCATTGAGTTTCTTTAATTTTTGTTATAACATTTTATTTATTCGAATTTTGTTTCTTATGTCGTTGGGTTGTTGGGTCATGCAGTGACTAAATAATAAAATAAGAATGAAATTCTTTAATGTGCATGTACAGGGTCCTTGCAGGAAATAGATTTCCATTAAAATTACACATCATACTATCGGGTGAGATGACAGTACTTATTCAACAGCTAGGCATTTGATACCCAGGTGGAGACTGTCAATAGAAGCATCTTTAGGGTCCAAATAACTTGTGAACAATTTTTCAAATTAAATAAATTAAATATCAAACAAAGAAAAAAGCGTTAAAAAAACGCAAGTCATATGAAAACAAGTTAATAACGTTAAGGAAGTTATTGAACTAATGCGAGTATATATTGTAAACTAAATCTTCTATGCACAACTTTTGACAATTATTAAGAATTCGTAACATATTATCTTTATAATAAAATATTACATTCAGTGAAAACTTTCGTGTTTAATTGCAAGTGTACGGAGAGTGACCTTAATAAACGATCAATACAGAATCACGGAGTACTAGAAAAATAGGGGAGATAATAGACATGCAAATTAAAGAGCGATGTTTAAATTTTTCTTTATATTTTCCATGCATTTCTATTTGTTAAACTTTGTCTTAACAGTTGTTAATTTTGTGTATTAATTTTTTTCTTTCAGAATCAATTAACACGATCTAACTTCAACGTTTGTTTATCTTTTCTTTCATCACGGTTTTTCCCTCGCACGTGGCACTTGTAATGTGCTATTACTGGCCTAAGTACTAACAAGAGGTCTCATGTTTAAGGTCACTGCATACAGAAAAGCTATTGGTGAATTAGAGTACACAGGCAAATTTTGTTCACGTGAATTTAATGTGAAATTAACGTGAATTTCACGTGAAAAAATTCACGTGAATTTCACGTTAATCGAGCTTATACGCGTAATTCACGTGAAATATTTCACGTGAATTTCACGTTAAACTCACGTGATTTTCACGTGAAATTCACGTGAAATTTTTCATGTGAAATTCACGTGAATTGAGCCTTCACGTGAAATTCACGTGAACTTTTCACGTGAAATTAACATGAATCGAGCTTCTTTTTTTTAATGAAATTAAAGTGAATTCAGCCTCAATCACACTAATTTCACAGGATTTGAGCTTATTTATGTAAGTCAATTCTAATCTAATACAAATTCTGTTTTGATATATATATAAACATGAAAAATATTATTCTTGGTCTGGACCATGTGTTCATACTTCCATTCTGTTTTACTTTCTTTGTTTCCAAAATTTTTTGGTCTTAAACAAAGAAGGCAAGCAAATGCATCACAGGATATAAATTATATCCAGGGCACCTTAGTTCACTCCTAGAACTTTTTTGGTTGTGTTGAGTCTCAATCCTTTTTTGTAAATGATTTATGGACTGTGGTCATTTATAGAAGTTGATTGCACTGATGTATATTTCATTTGAGTTGATTTTTATTATGTTTGTATAAGTCATATTGTGTGGTCATCAGTTTTGACACAAACCAATCACATTATGGAAAAGACTTACTTGCAAAAGATGCCAATTCTCTTTAAGAAGGTTTTGAAGAAAAAAAACTAGTTCACCTCGCCACATATTCATGTACCTGCTTAAAGCCAGAAATCTTTTCAGTGGTTGTCAAAAATCTCGTCTTAATAAAAAAAAATATTCAGAGAATTTGGTGTTGATGGCTATTCTTGATTCATATTGTAATTTTTTTTATAGCCTCTGGTCAATTAAATAGATCATGGCATATCTTTTAGACACCTGTCTTTTGTTGAGGACTGCATGTTAGCACCTAAATGCCTTTCAGGTGTTTTTGTTGTTATATTGCTGGCTGATTGATGTATACCTCATGTCTCATTGTACTAATAAACTAAAATAGAAAGTTCTGTGAAATATAGCTGATATACAAATGTACCATATTGAAAGGCTCTCTGTAATTTACAACCATTTACTTCTTATTTCATATATGCAAAAATAGTTTTTTTCTCATTTTAACACTGATCTTAAGGTTAAGGCAAAATGTTGACAAACAACAGGCATATACCATTAAAAGATCTCAAAGTTTGGCTGCACAATAAGCTAAAAATTCTTGTTATTTCATTTTTTTATATAAAATTCATTTTAAAACATGCATTTTCATTTTTTTACTGTAACTTGTATGTTGACACAATAATTTGAATTTGAATTGTATTATATTCTGAAAGTACTTGTGGTTGAAAAAATATACACAATTGTTAATTCCAGTTGGTTTACGTTTCTTGAAAACACCACTACTATGACTACATGTCTGTTAATAATGTTTAAGAGTCCTCTTCTGCATATAATTGCTATTTGTACCCAAGGATTCCTTCATACATTTGCACTTCTCCTCCTAAGATGTTGCTCCAATGATAAAATCCTGTAATGCATACTTAGCAATCAGACTCTTTGAATACTTCCTACAGTTCCTGTAATATAATAAAATCAGCATGTTTGTTTCTGTAGTCAAGCAAAAAAGATAACACCAATTTAATCTCCAATGATTACCAAACTTATAATTAGGAGATAACTGTTTTGTATTTTAAGCTCAGACATGATCATTGGTGATTTGATGGTGATTTACCCAGTAAAACCCAGTAATTCCCACTGGGCTGGGCAATACTCATAAAACCCAGGTTTTTGCCAACCCTGTTTCAGGACATTTTGTAGCTCGCTATGCTGTATCAGTTTTGCTCATTGTTGAAAGCTGTACATATGATCATTTACAGTTGTCAATATTCAGTCATTTGGACTCTGGTGGATAGTTGTCTCATTGGCAATCATACCATGTCAAATTTTATAATAAATTACTTATGAAAACAAACCACATTACCTGTATATATAAGTATACTTAGTGCCTATAGAAACACAACTCATCATTTTCAAGCCCCCTTCTTACATGTCTTAGCCCCATTTAAATTACAATACTAACACAGTATGTTTATGGCTCTATGCATTCTGGAAACATCTGGTTACCTGATACTTTTCCAGTTAAGAAATTTGTGATTAGCTTCCATAGGGGTATAAATCAAAACTCCAAATGCTCTGAAAATTGATAATCTAGCAGACTGTACATTTTTTAATTACCTCTGCAACGGAGGTGTGGCGGTTCATTATGGTTGAACTTTGCCATGTTAACAAGTTGTACCTCCAAAACTGTAGGAGGAGATAGCCAGACAAACAAAGTATCCTCATCCGGACGGACAGGGGTAAATTGATATTATTCCCCCTCGACTGTTGCTGGGCATAACTACATGTGCTGTAGCATGTGTAAGGGGACCAGAATTGTGTTTTTATTGGCACTCAGTATAAATTTATATAAAATAGATATCACAAGAGACGAGTAAACACGCTGAAATGTCTTGCATGTTTTACTATTCATGATATATTTTATGTTGATTGTTCTAAACATGCTAAAGATATAATTTTACTATAAGTATGATATATAAACTTAACATAACCAATGATCCATGAAAAAAATACTGTCAAGCAAATAATGCCAAGGTCAGAAAAACCAAGCCAGACAGACATGTGCACCTTACAATCATTGCCTACCCCAAATATAGCTGATCTGTTAATTGATTATAGCTTGTATAGTAAACAACAAACACAGTGACAAATCCAGAAATTTTCATAAGTGGGGGCCCACTGACTGCCTAAGAAGGGGCCCGCTCTGGTCAAGCTTCAGTGATTCCCTATATAATCAACCAAATTTTTCCCAGAACAGGGAAGGGGGGAGGCCCCCTGCCCCCCTAAATCCGCCTCTGCAAACAGACCAAAATATGAAACTTATTATTGACTAATGAACTATGAATATCAGGTCATGGTAAGATGAACCCTGCCCAGACAGACATGTACACCATACAATCAGTTGCAGACAAGACAAAAATGGCCTAATTCATGATAGCAGTTATTGTTTAATCTTGGTCAAGCTATTTTGATAATTTTCCTCAAACTACAAGCATAACATATATACACATGGGAATATTAATATGAAATAAGAATTGAAATCTAAGGAAATCCAGAATATAATATTCTATTCTCATAAATTTACATGGACTGAAAAGGGGTAAACAAATCTAACTACATGCCTATTCCATACATGTATATATAGCAGATTAACTTTTCCCTTGATCTGTTGATTGATAGTGTTTTTTTATTTTGTCAGTTTGCGTGGACTCCTTTTTAAATTTGCACAGGATTCGGCATTTTTGTTATACAATTTTGACAGCAAATACTGTAACAAATACATACCAGTTACATGTACTGTATCTATAGGGTCTCCACTACATGTATATCTAATCAAGTCATTCATTTCATCGAAACATATAACATGTATAACTTCACTTCCACTTACATCTGGGGAGCTAATTCTGAAAATTTAAATTCCAGTGATTATTATAAATATAAGACCTGAACCTGATCATGCTGATGAACTGTTTTCCAAATAAAAACATGGCAATACAACTGAAAATTCATTTAGATATATGTCAAATTCACACAGGCAATTGTTTTAAATAAATGTTGATAGTGTCCACATGAGGACACAGATGATGCCCCTGCTTGCATATCATATAGTTATAAAGGGACATAACTGAAGAACGGTAAAAGTGATGCTACCC